CAAGTGGAGACAGCTATTTTTTACTGGAAAACTAGAGGGAAAGTCAGAACTCAGTTGTGYAATGTGTTTGTTAGAGAAGGTGCAGCTTTCCTGGGACTGCAGCATGTGTGTGCTGTGGCTTCCCACTGAGGAGGTKTAGGGAAAAGCCATAGGTGATCACTTCCCAGGGATGTTACAGAAGTCCCACTGCAGCACAAAGTTGCATTTTCAGCRCATGGAAAGGGGTCTGTATGCTGCATGGAAAGACTTGAGTGTGGCTGTTGCCTCTTCAGATCTAATGGTAACAACTTGGCCTTCTGTTTGTTTTCCTCCTTCAGTGCTTATGGAAACTGGTTCCCTGGAAGCAAACCTCTGATCCAGCAGGCCATGGCCAAAATCATGAAAGCCAACCCTGCCCTGTATGTGTTGAGGGAACGAATCCGCAAAGGACTGCAGCTCTACTCCTCAGAGCCCACGGAGCCCTACCTGTCCTCCCAGAACTATGGGGAGCTCTTCTCCAACCAGATCATCTGGTTTGTGGATGACACCAATGTGTACAGAGTCACCATCCACAAGGTGAGGCCACAGGGGTGTCTTGGGGAAAGGACGGGGGCTGAATGCGTTCGGTGGAGGTTTCTGTGCAGGATGGAAAATTGGGAGTCAACGTGGACACAGATTTTTGCAGTGTGCACAGAGCAGCTCTTACATTTCCCATACAGCTCCTGCTCAGAGCACTCAGTCTGTTGTGTAAAAGTGTGGTTGGGCTCCATTTATCTCCCTGTACTTCTCACTCTCATTTATTTTCCCAGACTTTTGAAGGGAATTTGACCACAAAACCCATCAACGGAGCCATTTTCATCTTCAATCCCAGAACTGGACAGCTCTTCCTGAAGATCATCCACACGTCTGTGTGGGCAGGACAGAARCGTCTGGGACAGGTAGGGCTTGGGTGTGAGCTGGGGGTGTGTCTGACTGCTTGAGCAGAAAACATCATGAAGATCTTCATCTTTCTGCCTTTTTGGCAGCTTCAGTTTGGAGTTTGGAGCTTCAGACTCCAAGGTCAGGTCAGGAGCATGGCATATAAAAGTGGAAGAGAACAAGCATTGCTGCTACAAGAATTTTGAGGTGTTAAGACCCCACACCATCAAGCAGAGCTTGAGGAACAGGGCTGTGCTCCATGTTAAACAGATCACTCTGCTTGGCTGTACCTCCAGTGCAGTGAGAAAACTGGTGGCAAATCCAGGGAGGTGGAGCAGCCAACTTGTTTTTTCTGAGCCATTCAAGAGTAACTGAGCTCCAGGAATGGGAAGTGACCTCTGGGATCAGTGAGGAGGAAATGCTGGGCCTTGTCACTGATTTGGAAAAAGCCGTAAATTCCAGTTGTATTTTTAGAATCTGGTTTGCATCCCTTCGATTCCCAGAGACATGGGTGCACTGCTGGAGAGCAGGGGGATATTTCTCTAACCCTGCTTGCTTTCTACAGCTGGCCAAGTGGAAGACTGCTGAAGAAGTGGCTGCCTTGATCCGCTCCCTTCCCGTGGAGGAGCAGCCAAAGCAGATCATAGTGACACGGAAGGGCATGTTGGACCCGCTTGAGGTAACGATGCAGATACTGCTCTGTGAGGATGTTTTTGGGAGATAACAGGACAGTTTTGTGTCCTGTGATGTTCCACAGTGAGCTAATTCCTCTTGATAAACTCCAGGTGCACTTGCTGGATTTCCCCAATATTGTGATCAAAGGCTCGGAGCTACAGYTGCCCTTCCAGGCCTGTCTGAAAGTGGAGAAGTTTGGTGATCTCATCCTGAAGGCCACAGAGCCCCAGATGGTTCTGTTCAATCTCTATGATGACTGGCTGAAAACCATCTCTTCCTACACGGTGAGCACAGATGTGTCTGCAGCATTTTGCTTTTCTGCTGATAAAAAAGGCAGGAACCAAGGCCTCGAATATCCCTCATGATTTGTTGTTTGGAAGTACTTGGCTCAGAATCTGCCTGGATTTGTCTTTAGATGGATTCCACTGGCGGTTCCCCTGCTACATCCATATGCCCAAACAGGAATGCAGTACTAGGGCCTTGTATATTTAATTTTCTTCCTTCTAACTGCATCTTCTTTCCTTTTCCAAGGCATTCTCCCGTCTGATCCTGATTCTCCGGGCACTACACGTGAATAACGATCGAGCCAAAGTTATCCTGAAGCCAGACAAGACAACCATCACTGAGCCTCACCACATCTGGCCAACCCTGACCGATGAGGAGTGGATCAAGGTGGAGGTGCAGCTGAAGGATCTCATCCTTGCTGACTATGGCAAGAAGAACAAGTAAGCCACTGTGCAGCTGCCATAATCCTGTCAGCTTTTCCTTCCTGCCCTAAAGGATGTGGCCTCTGTCAAAGAACTGTCAACTTTATAGGGAATCTGGTTATTATTAATGACTTTCTAGCAAGGCCGATAAAAATGTCTGCACCAAATCTTCTCTGCTCTGAACATCATGTAATTTGGCCCCTTTCTAAAAGTTGTGGTTTTATTTTTCACAATGCCCAGGGTGGATGTGCTGAGCTTGTGAGAATGCTCTAGAAATTATTTTGAAATTACTTGTGTGGTTTTTCTCTTCCAGCGTGAACGTTGCATCCCTGACCCAGTCAGAGATCCGAGACATCATCCTGGGCATGGAGATCTCCGCCCCATCTCAGCAGAGGCAGCAGATTGCAGAAATYGAGAAGCAAACCAAGGAGCAGTCGCAGCTGACAGCCACACAGACCCGCACGGTGAACAAACACGGGGATGAAATCATCACCTCCACCACCAGCAACTATGAAACCCAGACCTTCTCCTCCAAGACTGAGTGGAGGGTCAGGTAGGRAGGCAGGCAGGGGTGGTGGAAAGGGTTGGAGTGTTTAGGGATGATCTGTGCATCCTCTGATCATCATGTCCTCCTCRCAGAGCAATTTCTGCTGCCAACCTCCACCTGCGGACAAACCACATCTACGTCTCATCAGATGACATAAAGGAGACAGGTTACACCTACATYCTTCCCAAAAATGTGTTGAAGAAGTTCATCTGCATTTCAGACCTGCGGGCCCAGGTGAGTGTGCAGGGAACTGTGCTCACACCAGTGGGGAGCTAACGGTGAAGGGCTGGGAACCTGGTTTTATTTTTCAATGTGAATCCTTCTGATGTTCTCGGGAATTAAGGAGTTCCCTCTCTTGCACAGTTACACAGAGATCCCTTCTGGCCTTCTGAGGCAGGTGTGTGCTTTAGATTGCAGGTTACCTGTACGGAGTGAGCCCTCCAGACAACCCCCAGGTGAAGGAGATCCGGTGCATTGTGATGGTGCCTCAGTGGGGGACACACCAGACCGTGCACCTCCCAGGGCAGCTGCCACAGCATGAGTATCTCAAGGTGAGTTGAGGTTCAGCTCCCASGGTGGGTGGAAGGGCAGTAACAAGGACCTGAGGTGGTGGGGCAGCTTCCCTTGGTTTGTTGTAGTTKTGGGACTGAAAGGGCTCAACCTGATTGGGGTCAGTGAGGGGGAAATCTCTGCTCTCTCTGTGCTCTCTCTGTGCTTTTAGCCAGGCTTGAAGTGGTCTCGTTGGAAATATCTCTGATTTGTCTCGAAACCCTTCTCTTCTTGTCAGGAAATGGAACCTCTGGGATGGATTCACACCCAACCAAACGAGTCCCCTCAGCTCTCACCACAGGATGTCACCACCCACGCCAAGGTCATGGCTGACAACCCCTCTTGGGATGGAGAGAAGACCATCATCATCACCTGCAGGTGAGTGGCAGGGAGGCTTCCTGTGCTGTGCTGGGGAACTCTSAAAATAAAATTGGGCAGAAAGGGGAGGGAGTGCTGGCTCATTCCTGGTTTCCCTCCYCTACCCCAGATGAGTCTGATTTGCCCTTTGTCTCCTTTTCAGCTTCACCCCTGGCTCCTGCACGTTGACAGCCTACAAACTGACCCCAAGCGGGTACGAGTGGGGCCGGCAGAACACAGAYAAAGGCAACAATCCCAAGGGTTACCTCCCCTCCCACTATGAGAGGGTGCAGATGCTCCTGTCCGACCGCTTCCTCGGCTTCTTCATGGTCCCAGCACAGGGCTCCTGGAACTACAACTTCATGGGTGAGCTGMCCTGGGAAGGGGAAGAGGAAATAATGACTTACCCAACTCCAAAACTTGGCTTTTCTCAGAGTGGCTGGCAGGGATTACCAGCACTGGGGCCTGAACTTTTCCTTGGTCCCAGCACGGGGATGTCAGTTCTCAATGATTTTTTGGTGRCAAGAGAGCAAACTGATACAGAGAGGAAAAATAGATACCCTGTCTGTATGGATTGTAGTGCATGGTCTGTCGCCACTGAATAATTAATCCCTGTCAGGCAGAAGAGATAATGGAAAATGCAAGAGAGAAGCTGTTCCCAGTAGGGAGGTCCTGGTATCATGAACACCACGGGCAGCTGGRGAAGGGGTCAGGAAATGAGAGTGACAGAACCCTCAGCTTGCACAAAAGGACTGTTAATCTCCTGAGAGGGGAACCCAAAGTGGGATGGTTTTGTGGATTTAGAATTCTCTTTTGGCATGGAAATGATCACAGAAGGGTAGAGAGCTTTGGAGGGATGGAGGAGGCAGGAGGGGTGCTCAGGTGGGTGACGTTCTCTCTCTTCCAGGTGTCCGCCACGACCCCAACATGAAGTACGAGCTGCAGCTCGCCAACCCCAAGGAGTTTTACCACGAGGTCCATCGCCCCTCTCACTTCCTCAACTTCGCGCTGCTGCAGGAGGGGGAGGTTTACTCGGCCGACCGCGAGGATCTCTACGCCTGACCCTGCCCGCGCCCTTCTTAGTACTGTTGATATTCAACAGCGTGTTCGTGTTCCCCCTTTCCACTGCCCCCCGCTCGCCCCCSGCGCGTTGTTGTTGTTCCCCCACTTTCCGCCACGCTCAATAAATTTTGTACGAACGGGAGCKCCGCCGCCGGTTGGGTCCCGCCTCGGGGGCGGCTCCGGACGGGGCGGGCCGGTACGGGCGGAGCGTGCGCGGCCGCGGGTGCGGGGCGATGGCGGAGCCGCTGTGGCGAACCCCGCCGGGCCGCCTGGCCCCGCCGCACGTCTACCGCATGGCGGGGGCCCTGGGCGCCGAGCTGCGCCGCCTGTCCGCCCGCTTCGGGCCCGACGCTGTAGCCGGGCTGGTGCCGCCCGTGGTGCGGCTGCTGGAGCTGCTGGAGGCGCTGGTGGCCCCGCCGGGCGCTGAGGGGGAGGCGCCGGCAGCGCCGGCCGGGCCACAGGAGGCGGAGGTGAGCGGGGCTCGGGACCTTCCCTTCGCCGCTGTCCCCGCAGGAGCGGCCGTGGGGACGGCGCCAGGCCGGCTGCTGGCTTTAGCCAGGGGATGACTCCGAGCCGGCTGGTGGCTTTACCCAGGGCTGGCTCTGACAGGGGTGTCCCACATTCCGCGGGAGGCTCCGAGCCGGCTGTTCCCTTTTCCCAGGGGACTGCTGTGACATGGGTGTCCCACATTGCACGGCAGGCTCCGAGCCGCCTGTTCCCTTTTCCCAGCGGATGGCGCTGACCTGGCTGCCCTGYCATCCCCTGGGACAGCTGCAATGTGGCGGTCCCTTTCTGTCAGTATGGATCTGACCCGGTTGTCCCCTGTCTGATTTAGTTGACCCCCCGGGATGGCTCTAACCCAGCTGCCCCCGTTTCCCAGGGGTGGKGGYGCTGACCCCACTGTCCCCCATCCCCTGTGAAGCCTCTGACCTGGCTGTCACCGTCYCCTGGAACAGCTGTGACCTGGCTGAGCCCCGGCTGCCCCCTGGCTGTCACTGTCCCCCAGGGTGGCTCTGACCCGGCTGTCCCCGTCCCCCAGGACCCGGAGCAGAGGCTGTGGGAGGCCGAGCGCCGGGAGCGAGCCCTGCACGGCCGCCTGGCCTGCYTGGAGGAGCAGAACCGCCAGCTCCTGGGGCAGCTTGCCGAGAGCCAGTCCCAGGAAGGTGGGTGTCCCAGCGGGTTTGGGGTCCCCTGATGCCACAGGGTGTCCCCGTGGAGCAGCAGGCTCGGTGCAGGGCTGAACCTGCTCTTCTGGAGAATGGAATGCTGCTCTCCTTTCCCTCACCTTGGCATTGCCTTGCTYTGCAAATCACAGGGATCCCAAACCCCCAGAGCACCTTGAAAGCCCCAGCAGGGTGGTGGAGGCAGGCACAGAGTCTGGGCTGCTGTGCCAGCACAAGGATRCCTCGGGAACGGTCTAAAACTCCCAGTTCCCTTCTTTCCACTCTTCCTTCTCTGAGATTACCAGGGATGAATCTGGCTTTGCAGCAGCACTGAGGAACTTTATGGGGTTGTGGGGTTGGGGAATCCCTGGATGCCGAGGGACTCTCACTCCTGCCTGCCCGTGTCTGGTCTCAGACAGCACGGCACGGAAGGAGCGGGAGGTGATGCTGCGGCTCAAGGAGGTGGTGGACAGGCAGAGGGATGAGCTCCGTGCCCAGGCCCACGAGATCGTCTGCAAGAGCCGCGACACGGAGGCGGTGAGGGCGTGGGAGCTCAGGGTGGGGTGTCACATCCACCCGGGGCTGCTGAGCCTGCCGGGGCGGGTGGCACTGGGTGGCACCCAGGTCCCCCCCCTGGGTGGGGACACCGCCTCACCTGTGACTGCCCCGGGCCCTGCAGCTGCAGGAACAGCTCCATCGCTTCATGGCCATGAACGAGGAGCTGCGGCACAAGGTGGCYGTGGTGCAGGCCCAGCTCAAGAGCGCCCTGGAGCAGAAATCAGACCTGGAGGCTGCGGTGCTGCAAAGCCGGAGGGAGATGAGCAGGAGGAGCAGGACAGCCCTGGAGAAACAGCGGCCGGAGCCTGGCGTGGTGAGTGTGAGCTGTGACCTCACTGCTGCTGGACATCACCAGCACTGACCCCACGTTCCCAGCCCGGTGTGGAGCTTTTGGCACACCCAGACCTGCTGGCTGCCAGGACAGGACATGGCTGCCCAGGTAAACCCCACAGCTAAAACTTGGCAGTGTTTGATTGTCTGTGATGCCAGCATCGCCCTGTCTGTAAAAATCGGGATAGAACAAGGTGAGGTGATGGGAGGAACACCCAGGTGGGACACAGAGGATGAGGAGGGTTTGCCACATCAGAATGGTGATGGGGAGTGATTGCTGGCCGAGCTGGGGACCCACCCACTGCAGCAGCTCTAGTCTAAATTCATTCCTGGGACTTCTCAGTTTCTGCCTGCACGTGCACACAGCCTTTGGGTGGAGGTTTTGAGGTTTCTGCTTGCCTGCTGACACTCTTCATCCCCCCCAGGAAGGAGCCCTGTCACCCTCAGAGGAGCCTCAGCACCAGGATGGGGACAGGAGCCCTGCTCACTGCTGCTTCTCCAAGGAAGAGCTGCAGCAGATCCTGCAAGAGAGGAATGAGCTCAARACCAACCTATTTTTGGTGCAGGAGGAACTGGCGTATTACCAGAGGTGAGTCCTGTCCCTGCAGCCACCCATGGCCCATCAGGGCAGAACCTTCCCCAGGCTCTCAGTTTCACCAAAGCTGCTTTTTCCAGGGAGCTGCTGAACGAGGAGAGAATTCCCAGCTTCTTCTTGGACGCAATGAAATCAAATATCAAAAAACAGAGAAAAAAAATCAGGGCCAAAATGCTGGGAACAGCAGAGGAGTCGGGGAGCAGGTGAGCCAGGCTGGGTGCTGAGATCCCCCTGAGCAGGGTGGGTGCTGGCTGGTCTGTTCCAGCATTTCCATACAACTGATGCCCTGGAAAAAAAAATTCCCCAGCTCAGAGCTGCCTCCTCCCTCTGGAGATCAAAGGTTTGATGTCTGTGGTTGATGTGATGCTCTGGCATAGCTGTGCCACAGGGGCTGGGCTTTGTGCTGCAACTTCTGTGTCACTGTCACCAGTCAGGTATGGCCTGGCCAAATGCCACTTGTGCATGTGACAAAAGGGAGGCGAGGTGGTGGCACTGGGAGCGCTGGACAAACTCCAGAGTGGCTCCAGCTATGGCTCAGTGCAGGTTCACCCCCATTTCTTTGTGCTGCAGTGAGGAAGAGGAGGGCTCCTGGCTCCCAGCTCATGGCACAGAATGTGTGGATGCTCAGCCTCCAGAATCCAAAATTAGGAGCTTGTAAGTTCGCTCCTGTGCTGGTAGGGATGGGAGGCCCAGGTTTGGGGCTCAGCTGGGAGCTGGGACAGAGCCAGGCTGGCTGCTGCCAAAAATTAGGCTGCTGCCAAAATGTGGCTYCTCAGTTTAGGGGGATCTGCCTCATCCTGGGTGCCGTGTGCTCCCAGGTTCTGCAGCCAGGCTGTGTCCTGCTGCCACCACCAGCACGGAGGGAGGCTGGGATCTGACAGCTTCCCTGGGTAGGTTCTGCTCCCCCACGGCCCTTATCTGYTCTCTCTGCAGTTTTGGGCTGTGGTATCAGGGCAGCAGCAAAGATCCCCCCACATCCAGCTGCTCCGGAACCTGGGAAATCATCGACTCGCTGGACACGCAGCCGGAGCTGGAGGGGGAGAGCAGGGCAGGGGGCAGCTCCCCTGACAGAGCCACACCACCCCTCTGACCCCACAGCAACGGGAGCAGGGTCTGGAGGAACTCCTGCAGCAGAACTTCCTGGATCCTCTTCTTCCAGCGCCTTCCAGAGCAGCACGGCAGCGCTGGCACTTCCCTGTGCCATGGAGGGGGCAGAGCCACTCCTGGGCAGGCTCCTGCAAACCACTGGGACACTTGGATGGGGGTGCCAGGCTGGCATGGGACAGCTCAGGGCCTCTGTGACCATCAGCCACCCCTTTATGGTGCCCACGGTGTCCTTCACAGCTGTGCCCCCTCCCCACTGCTCCCTGCTTGCACCTCAGCATGGTGGGGGTCTGCACCCTCTTTCTCCTCCGTACCCCAAAAAGGATCTTCCATCCACTGGTGGCTCTTTGCAAACCCCTCTGCTCACAGCSCAGATCCCATTGCCCATCCCTGCTCTCTTGTGTTTTGCTTCACCCCTTCCTGTCCGTACCTCCCCAATCCCTGCAATGTGAAGGTCCAGTTGGGGTGTCCTGGGGTCCCCACACGGCTGGGAGGGGCTGAGCACACTGCACTGGGTGTCCRGGTGCTCCTGTGGCTGGGAGCCATCAGGATCAGCACCACCAGGGCCACTGCTGCACTTTCCAGGCGTGGGGTGAATCGGTTTTGTACCGGGATCTCTTCCTGCCACTGCTGGGATCTGGCACACTGGAACAATTCTTGTGCTTGTGGGGGCGAGTCGCCCCCTCAGGTCAGGTACTTTCTACCTTTAAATTGGAAATAAATCAATCTTTTGTTTGTCCTCTGAGCTTCTGGCTGCAGCTTCTGCTTTCTCTTTGGGTGATGCTCTGGGGTTTTCCTCACCATTCCCCACGGATGGCTGAGCCCCCTGAATCCCTTCTGTGGGTCAGCTGCGATGGGGAGGGKGCTCCAGGGGGTGATCCCACAGTGCTGGGCATGGAGGAGTTAATTCCTGCACAGCCAAGGGGAGCACTGTGCTTCCAACCCGGAGCCCCACSGGCTGAGCCGGCCTTGGGTAGGAAAAAGGTGTTTCCTGTGCATCTGCTGACACAAAGCTCCTGGGGACGGGGCGAGGTGGGACAGTGGCCAGCAGCCCTTCAAAGGCCAGCACGGGTCAGGCTGTGTTGCCATGGGGGACATGGGGATCCCTCCTGTGAGCCCCTCGCAGGGGTGGCAGTGCCATGGGGTGGCTCACGGGGGTCGAGGCTGGGGGTGGCATTGGATGGCATCGTGCCCCTTGGCTAGAACAGCTCTGGGGGTGATGGGGATGGCACAAGGGTGACACAGGTGACGTGCTCAGGCAGGTACCAGTCCCTGCGTGGCTATGCCGAGCCCCTGGACACCCCTTTCTGCTGGCAGGGCGGCAGCCAGGGCCAAAAATAGCCCGGGCAGCAGCATTCCCTGCTCCCCTGACGTCGGGATCGGGGCGCCTCCTCCCGCGTTTCCTCAGGAAGAAACCCAAGGCTGGAGGGAGGAAGAGGCCGCACCACGGGAGGGACGGGACAGACGGGACAGAGGGACACCGGCACGGGGCTGGGGAGCCACCRGCACTGGGGCCCCGGTGCCCTGCTGGGATGGGGAGCGCCCGGCCCATCCTCTGCCTCCAGCTGTGGCTGTGGGTGCAGAGCTCTGCCCAGGAGCTCGACCCTGAGGGCAGGAACGTCTGCAGGTAGGTGCCACGGGGGTCCCTCCATGGCCCTCCATCTCCCGGGGCCTCTCAGCAGCCCCAGAGGGCGGTGTCCATCCCTCCTTCTGTGGATGGAGATGTGCAGCCCGGCACGGAGTGGGTGCAGAGTTTGGGGTGATGCTGGGCAGCGCGGCTGGGGCACATCTGGGAATTTGGGGCAGCCAGAGCCCTTCTCCAGRGATTATTTGTCAATTTGTCATTCACCCCAAGTGTGCAGGACAATGGGGCAATTACGGGATCCTCGGCAGAACTCATTGTAGGGTAATATTGGTGCAGCAAACCCCAAAGAGCTTTGGGAGCTGATGTCCCTGGAATTGGCTGCCAAGTYCTCCCCCCATTGTCCCCTACAAAAGTGACACCTTTCGCTGCCTTCAGCCCCTTATTTCTGGCGGAGCTTTGAGCCTCTCCCAGAGCACGGCACACCCGGCACGGGCTCCGTGGGGCATTCCCAGCGCTTGGGGCCGGCCAGCCCTGCCGCCCACCCRGCCTGCAGCCTCCCCACGCCAATTTCCTTCTATTTTGCTGGTTTCCTTCCGGAGCGCTGCCCTCGGGGCCGCGCCGCCTTCTCGCCACTGGGTTAAGGATCGCTTCAGCCATGGCTGAGGCTGTGGAGCCGCCCCGGGCTGACACCCCGCGCTCTCTCCCGCAGGTTCCCGGCCGGCCCGGCGTGCTGTCCCGGCTGGAAGCAGGACGGGAAGGAGTGCCCAGTCGGTGAGCGATGGATGGGGGTGAATCCCAAAGTCCCCGCGGTCATCGAGCTCTGCCAGCGGTGCCAGTGGGGTCCCGCAACGTGGGGACACCCCAAGCTGCCGATGGTGCTGCGGCTGAGCCGGAGGGAGCGGGAAGCGGGATGGTGATTTCCCTGGGAAAGCTGTCCTTGCGGCAGRTGGGATGTGAGCCCGAATTTGGGGGGGCCATCGAGAGCTGATCAGTGCCTTTCCTGYCCCGACAGCTCTGTGCGAAGGGGAGGACGCCTGCAGGGAGGGCGAGGTGTGCCTGAAACCCGGGCTCTGCCGCTGCAAACCCGGCTTCTTCGGAGCGGACTGCAGCTCCCGTGAGTGCCTCCCCCGCGCTCAGCCCTTGCCATCCCCCTTCCAAACCACCCTGGACGCTCGTGGGGCTGCCGGGCATCCCCCCATTCCGGCCGTGTCCTCTCCCCGCAGGCTGCCCCGAGCAGTACTGGGGCCACGACTGCAAGCGGAGCTGCCCGTGCCACCCCAACGGGCGCTGCGACCCCGTGAGCGGCCGCTGCACCTGCGACCCCAACCACTGGGGAGGGCTGTGCCAGTTCCCCTGCCCGTGCGGCCCCCACGGCCGCTGCGACCCCCTGACCGGMGCCTGCCACTGCGAGCCGGGCTGGTGGGCACCCAACTGCAGGAAACAATGCCAGTGCAACCCCTCCACGTCCCAGTGCGACGCCCTGACCGGGCTGTGCCGCTGCCTGCCGGGCTGGTGGGGCCGCAGGTGCAGCTTCAAGTGCTCCTGCAACATCTCGCCCTGCGCGCAGGAGACGGGCAAGTGCGAGTGCCTGGCCGGTTTTTGGGGGCCGGCGTGCCAGTGGCGCTGCGACTGCGGGCACGGCTCCTGCAACCCTCTCAGCGGCCACTGCACCTGCGAGCCCGGCTACCAGGGTAGGAGCTGCCGGGAGCCGTGTCCGGCGGGGAAATACGGATCKCAGTGCGTGCACAGGTGAGATGGGGCTGCCGTCAGACCGTGGGGGAAGTCGCTGTGTTTGTGTGTCCCTTCTGGCAGGGAGACTCAGCCCGGGGGTTTGAGAATCTCGGGTTGGATACAGCATTGTGTTGCCCCAAAAGGAGTGTTGCACCTCACTAATGTCGGCAAAAAGTGTCACTCTAAAATCTGGTGGTTCTTAGTCCCTGGTGATAAAGCAGCACCTCCCAACTCAGARTATTCTGYGATTCTGCTCCCCTCCTGCCCGCTTGCACAGGATTATGCACCACTGCYCATTCCCCCTCGGTCCAAAATGATGCTCAGTTATCGTGTGGGGTGAAACCTGCTTTTTAGGGGTACAGGGATGGGCGCTGTGACCTCTCTGCCTCTCTCTGTCCCTGCAGCTGTGGCAGCTGCAAGCGCAGCCAGCCCTGCTCGCCCGTGGATGGTTTCTGCCTGGCCTGCCAGCCCGGCTGGAACGGGACCCTCTGCAAGGATCCCTGCGCTCCCGGATTCCATGGCGAGGGCTGCCTCCAGCCGTGTCCCCGCTGCCGGTACGGCGAGCCCTGCGACCCCCAGACYGGCTCCTGCCTGCGCTGTGACCCCGGCTGGACGGGACCCAGGTACACCCAGGACAAAGCCACYGGTCCCCGTGGGTGTCCCTGCTCCGGGGTGCAGTCGCTGACGCTTCGCTCTGTTCTGGCAGCTGCAACAGCTCCTGCCCCGCAGGCACCTTTGGTGAYGGATGCCAGTTCCTCTGCCCCGAGTGTGTTTCGGGGAACTGTGACCCCGTGTCGGGGGTTTGCATCTGCCAGGCAGGCTACTGGGGAGACAGGTAACGCTGGGAAAACACTGGGATAACGCTGGGATAATGCTGGGAGTGGGACAGGGCTGGAGTCTCGCTCTCTCTGCAGGCATTTCCCTCCTCTCCTCTCCTCTCTCTTCCAGTTGCAACGCCACCTGTCCCGAGGGATATTTCGGAGTGAATTGTTCCTCACCCTGCCAGTGCTCCCGGGGYACCTGCAACCCTGTGCAGGGTGACTGCGTGTTGAGTAAGATCATCCTCACATTACTCCTTGTCACTGGGCAAGGGACGGTCATGTCCTCTTGGGGGAAGGTGCTGGGAGGCTGAGATACATCCTGCTCCTTCCTGGCCCCTCCAGGAGTTGCCAGCTCCTGCATTCTCCATGTAGGGCTGTTCTGTGGGTGCCACAGCCCATGACAGACCCAACCCATCTCCCCACACAGGTTTGAAGGACCATGGAGCCCTTGCAGCCGCCATCCTCGTCCCTCTCCTGCTGCTGCTGCTCTGTGTCGCCTGTTGCTGCTGTGGGGCTGGCTCAGCAGATGCCAGAGACAGGTATTTTTTCGTRTTTTGTGACATTTGACACAAAGCCCCGCTTCCCATGTCCCTCAATGTCCATCTCTGCTCTGCAGGGCGGCTGTGCCGGACGATGATGTGGTGGCCAGGATGAAGCACCACGTGCAGGGGGTGCTGGCKAACCTCAGCGCTCTGGTGCCCTGCTTCAACCTGGGCAGCTCCAAACTTCCCAAAGTCACAGGTGAGAAAAGCAGAGCTGCCGACAGCACTTCCCGAAGGTCACCCTGCGCTCTCTGCAGTGTCACCCCGGGGTGCCCAAGCTCAGCTGCGTGTCTTCTCCTCCCCAGTTTCCCACCACGACACCGAAATCCCCTTCAACCCCAGCTTCATCGAGCCCCCATCGTCTGCGTGGGTTTCGGACAGCTCCTTCTCCTCCTTGGACACCGACAACGAGGGACCCGAGTACTCCGTCCCTCCCAGAGAAGGTGACGCCCATGGCTGCTGCTGCTGCTCCTCCTCCTCTCCGATCACCCACAGCCCTCTGGGCTGCCGGGGTCAATCCTGGCCGTCCCAGGGAAGTGTGCTTGGCACAGACCATGTTTATTTCCAGTCCCTTGTTTTCCTGTCTGCAGGGCCGTGTTTGGCCTTGTGCGATGGGACGTGCCCAGTGGGGCAACCCCATTTCACAACCTCCTCCCTGGGAAACGATCCCAGGGACAATCCTGTTGCATCAGCTCCTGTCCCAGTGTCCCCAATTGTGTCCGCGGGCAGGGTGGCGGCTGTGACAGCCGTAACACGTGTCACCTTGTCGCGCAGGCATCCCGCTGCTGGGCGGGGCTGAGCTGCAGGACGGACCATCGCCCCCTGGCCAGRCGCTGCCGGACCCCTCCGCCTTCGACTCCGAGGACGTCTCGCAGCCCTTTGCCATCCCCCGCACCTCTAGCATCGCCAAAGCCAAGCGACCCTCCGTCTCCTTCGCCGAGGGCACGAAATTCGGGGCGGCCGAGACCCCCAGCCCCGGCCGCAAGCCCAAAGCCCCGTGGGGTCCGGCCAGGCTGACCCCACCGCCGGGGGACGCGGCAGCCGAGCCCCCCGGCGAGCGCCCCAACAGCGACTGCTACGAGAACCCCGARCCCCTCGGCAAAGGGGACGAAAGCCACCGTCCGTCGCCTCGGGCCACGCCGGGGGGACGGCGCAGGGTGGTGTCCGGCACCAGGCATGTGGCGCAGAGGGTGGAGGCGCTGGAAGCGGCAGCCAAGTCCGGCAGCTGGGAGGGGAAGGGGAAGGGGAAGGAGCCCAATGTCACCACCATCTACATGATGGTGGGAACGGCCGGGCAGGACCCCAAGGCGGAGGGCACGGGCGAGGGGCCGGTRCAGGCAGTGCTGAAGCGCCTGGGCAGCTTGCAGAAGGGCAAGTGGGCTGCCAAGGAGGAGCCCAAGGTGAGGAGGAGCATGGAGGGCATCCAGAAACCGCCCCGGCGGGCGCTGGCGCAGCGCAGGGACTCGGAGAACAGCTGCAAGCAGAGGGACAGTGTCCCGGGGGCTCCTGCCGAGCCAGCCCCCGGCAAGCAGCAGCACCCCGCTGCAAAGAGGCTGTCMCTCCTCCTTGCGTCTCTCTCGTCAAAAAACACCGGTGCCCAGGATACGGCCGGGGAAGCCACGGAGAGGAGCAAAAGCACCGAGTTAGCTGTCAGCCTCGAGAGGAAGGGACAGGCTGCCGCGGAGGAGGAGCCCAAATACGAGAACGTGGCCAGCAGCGGCGCTGATTCGCCCTCCGGCCCCGGCAAAGAGCCGCCGGCCGCCCCTCCGGCCACCCCTCCGGCCACCTGAGCCGCCACCGCMCGGGCTGCGGCCGCCGGAGCCGCGGGGCTCCTCAATCCCACCTGGGGGAGCCGCGGTCCCRCTCCGAGCTGCGAACTGGAGAAGCACCGAGCCTTCCTGGGGACCCTTTTCCTCCGTGTGGCTGCTGTGGRGCCTCGCTGGAGCCACAGCAGGGGCAGCCCGGGGAGGGGRTTTGGTGTTTGGGGTTTGTTTTCTGCTCCCCCCTGTTCTACCAGCCCCATTTATATCCCGAGGGGACAGCGGTGGCACCCTCGAGTCCCTGTCAGCACTGGGGATGTACCCAATGCAGGGCAGCTGGGAAATGCACATACAAAATCCMAAGTTTCCCATCTTTCCCTATCCCAATTCCAGCGATGCTGTAAAGGTGCTTCTCTCTGAAGGGGATTATTTCGAGGAGAGATGATGGGCTGTCACAAGCAGCTTCAGAGAAAATTAATTTCAGCTGCTTATCTYCGAGGCTATCTGGGTCTGCGGGGGTTTATCCGTGTGGCTCTGGCCACGGCTGCCTTTGCTTTCCACGTGAGGCTCGTGGCAGGACACGGGGTGTAGTGACAGCTTTTCAAACTCCACGCAGTTCCAAGCTGAGAGCGACGTGGCAGCTGGGCAGTGACCATCAACCTGTGCACCTGGCGCCGCGCTGATAAGGCTGGAAGTTGCCGGGAAAATGGGATTTCCACGGGCACCGTAAGCTCCTGCCACCTCCCACRCCTCATTCCTGCTGTGAAGGCAGGTTGGGCCAAAGAGGATTTGCAGAGTGATCTGGTTTTAGATGTATCTAAGTAGTAGAAGGTTTTTGTGTGTTTTTTTYCCTGTTATTTYRCGTGGCGTGAAAGCCTYGGGATGGAAATTAAATGCCCTTCAGGAGATGGGTTTCCCAGACATCCTCTGAGTCCAAGACACGGCCAGAAATATTCTCCAGAGTGTGGAAATTGTCAGCGGCCTTTCAGGTTTTTTGGGTTTTAAAAAGTTTTCTGATTCTGTTGATTTCTGAATTCTCACTCGCTGAGCTGCACCCCAAGACTGGAGCGCAGGAATAATGTGAGTGGGCTGTGTGTGTCCAGAGCACCTTTGCTGCAATTTGTAGAGCTCAATTTGAATCCTTCTGCTCCTGCACTGCTCAGCTGGGGCTCAGGGTCTGGGATTTTTCAGAAAACACAGTRAGGTTTTGCTTTTTCCMTTTTCCTTTCCATGGCTGCTTCTCCCCAGCGCGAGGCACCAGATCCACACGGTCTGACGCAGCTGAAACTTCCAGTTTTGCAGGCAGCATGAAGCACCCTTTCCTACAGTGGAATCATCTGCTGCTGTGATTATAACACCAAATATTCTGGCATCCAAATAAAACTGCTCATCCTGGCAGGACCGGAGCAGCAGCCCGCTCTGCTTTTGTTTTGACACCGTTTTATGACAGCGGCAGGGACGGTCCCACATTTTGATTTACAAGCAGCCATTTATTTTCCCCCCCACAATGGGGTAGGATATTTTCAGCCTGTGAGCTGAGCAGTGCCTGTGCCAGAAGTGAACGTCACGTGAGCCAGTTCACTCTGGGTACAGCCYGTAAATAGCTGACAGCAACCTGACAGCCTTCGTGCCGCTCAAACCAGCGCCCGGCTGGAGAAAACGCTGCTGATGTTGCTGCTGAGAAAACCTCCCGTGCCCACAAAGCCAGGATGTTTTCCCCTGCTTGGAGATGAAGCATCTTGGCCCTGTCTGGGCAGTGAAAGGGAAAGGAGCCGCAGATTTCCAGCGTGTGGCTGCCCGTGCACACGCCCGCAGCGTGGCTGTGCTGGTGCCTTCTCGCTGGGGATGCTTCTGGGTTTAATTCGGGATGTGGAAGGATTGCAGGGCGGGTGAGGGAGGGAGGAATGTCCTCCCGTGCTGGATTTTTGAGTTTCCAAACCCGGTTTGAAGGCTGGCAGTGGGAAGGAAGCCGTGTGCAGGTGCTGTCTGTGCGCTCTGCTGGGGCAGCAAGAGGCTGGAGCTGCCCCTGGGGTCTGTCCTTGTCATCTCAGCTTTGTCATCTCCTTTCCCAAACTGCCCAATCCTTTGAAGAGCACCACGTCATTCACCCCAGTGGCTCTGCCAGAGCAGGAGCTGTCACCTCCCTTCCAGCCTAAACTCGTTCCTGGCCAGTTTCTAAAAATGTGTCTCTGTGTCAGTGCTGTTCTTCAGCTTCACTTTATTATTTTTCTCCCCATGCTGTTTACCCAATCCCTGGGGTATTTATAGCTGGCCATGGATCACCCGATAGCTTTTCTCCTTCTAGGATATGAAAACTGAGCCCTCCACGCTCTTGCTGTGGCAGAGTTCCCGTGACCCCAAACAACCTTTGGACCTTCCTCGTGCTCCTCCTCATCACAGTTTGTGTTTCTTGGACRCAGCGCCCAGGTCTGGGTGCTGAGGTCTCCTGGGTCTGGTGCTGCCTCAGCCTTCCTCTACCTCCGTTAAACATCTGGCACCCATCCAGGCCGCCTTGTTTTCTTTGGGTTTTTTGTTTGTTTGTTTGCATTGGCTGAGTTCCACTTTCCAGCTGTTGAAACGTTTGACCCTCTCCCACAGCCAAGGCTGAGGAGTTTCCTCTTCCCTCCCCGCTGCAGCGATGGAACAGTGGGGACACGTCCGTCTGTCTGGGCCTTCTGCTTCCTCTGGCGTGTTTACCTGCCACAAATGCTGTTTTCATCTCCTCTGGCTGAGAAAATATCCTCCATGATGATTCTAGGGATTCATGGCCATGTCCTCTGACCCAGGGCCTCACCAATGAGGGATGGATTTATGGCAGGTCTAGAAATACCTCAGAGGACTGCTCTGAAAAATAATTTAACAGAAAAAAAGAGGGCAGAGCTCTGGTGAAGTCAGATGTGACACTGCTCTTGTGGCTTRTGATGATATTACAGGTTACCCAGAGGAGCTGTGGCTGTCCCATCCCTGGATGTGTTCAAGGCCAGGGGCTTGGAGCAGCCTGGGATAGTGGAAGATGTCCATGCCCAGGGCAGAGGGTTGGAACGAGATGTTCTTTTAGGTTCCTTCCAACCCAAACCTTTCTGTGACTCTGTGAATGAGCTGTGTYGTGGGCTGGGTTGTCTGGAGGGCTCATTGCCCCTGTCCAGCTGTGCTGTGAGGGTGCTCAGCACTGCGTTGGGTGCCCAAAAAGGTCTTTAAATAGGGTGGAGCAGCTTCTCTGGTCCCTCTCCTTGAGCAGGACGGGAGGGCTCTGCAGGACGGGAAGGCTCTGCAGGACAAGAAGGTTCTGCAGGACTGGAGGGCTCTGCAGGACAGGAGAGCTCTGCAGGACGGGAAGGTTCTGCAGGACAGGAGGGCTCTGCAGGACGGGAGGGGTCTGCAGGACAGGAAGGTTCTGCAGGACAGGAAGGTTCTACAGGACGGGAGGGCTCTGCAGGACGGGAAGGTTCTGCAGGACAGGAAGGTTCTGCAGGACGGGAGGGCTCTGCAGGACGGGAGGGTTTCTCAGAATGCAGCCGGTGCCTGTACCCACGGCAGCTGAGCAACACCGCGGGCGCTGCTCCCGGCACGCCTCCCTGTGCTCAGAGCTCTGCCGTTCGGCGGTGAGCGCGGTGCGGCTCCCCCGGCTGCCGCCCGGGGCCGGCGGAGACCGGCGGAGAGCGGCAGCGAAGCCCGCGGGGCGCTTCCCGCTGTCGCCGCTCGGGGCTCATCCGCGCCCGCATCACCTCCCGCCGCCGTGCCCGGTTTTGTCCCTTTTCCACCGCTCGGGTGCCGCTGTCCCCGGGAGTGCGGGCAGTGCCGGTGTGTCCCGGTCCCCGCCGAGGGTCCGTGTGTGTGTGCATGTCCCGCTCGGTCCCCGCCCAGCCCCGGTTGTCGCGTCCCGGTGCGCTCGGCTGTCCCGGGAGAGACCAGGTGCAGCCCGGGCGCCGGAACCGGGGGATACGGGAGGAGGGGGGTACCGGGGAGGGGTCCCGGAGGATATCGAGGGGTACCGCAGGAGTACCGGGAGCGGTACCGGGGAGATACCGGAGGGTATCGAGGGAATACCGAAGGGAATATCCGGGAGTGTTGTAGGGAGTACCGGGAGTGGGGGCTGCCCGGAGGCTACCCGAGGGGTCCCGAAGGAGATATCGGGAGGAACCGGGGATAGGGGACACCGGAGAAGAGGGTACCGCGGGGGAGATAGCGGGGGGTCTCGGGGGAGATACGGGGGGAGATAACGGGGGATTCTAGGGGTAGAAACAGAAGGATCCCGGGGGAAGATACGGGGAGGTACAGCGGGGGTCCTGGAGGAAGATCCTGGGAGGTACTGTGGGGAGATATCGGGGGATCTCGGGGGGTCCCATGGGGAGATCCTGGGGGGATCCCGAGGGGTCCCGTGGGGAGGTACCGGGTGTCTCGTGGGGGTCCCGAGGGGTCCCGGTTGGAGGTCCCGGGGCGTTCCCGAGGGGTCCCGGTTGGAGGTCCCGGGGGTCCCGTGTGGGGATCCCGAGGGGTCCCGGTTGGAGGTCCCGGGGGGGTCCCGTGGGGAGGTACCGGGGGGATCCCGAGGGGTCCCGGGGGGGTCCCGGTTGGAGGTCCCGGGGGGTCCCGGTTGGGGGTCCCGGGGGGGTCCCGGGGGG